TAATATTTAAGAAATATTTGCTTTTGATCTGAAATATTTAGCAAACATATAAATATTTCCTAAATATGTATGTAATATTTTGTGCTATCTGGGTTTAAGGGTATATAGAGGCCTAAAAAATTTCGAAAATTTTATAAGATATTAACAGTTGAAGATCGAATTGCAACTTTGTTATTAGTGCATGTGAAAAACCCAGTGTAAGTAAATATGGTATAAAAATTTACATTTACAAATCAAATTTATCGGGTTTGGGCTGTTTTCCAAAGAAAACACTGCGCAGAATTTGAAACGAATTGTAAATAAGAATCAGAGAGAAGTCGGGGCAAAAAAACCCAATAAGACATCGGTAGTTTGAAGTTGTCCTCTTGATTATTGTGGAAAAACCGCATTCAAAAATGGAAATTTGCCCTCTTTCCAGGACAGTAAAGCAGTGAACCACATCGACGAAGAAAATGAGGATCATGTGGAAAATGGCTCGTTGGAAAACGGAAGAGATGGCCTGACTGGAACGCCCGATTCCGCCAACTCGCCCAACGACAAAGACCTGGAAGAGCTACTGGAAGTTGATCATCACCAGGTACTGGCCATCGATTTTTTTTGGTGTACAATTCCAGGTTAATTTCCCGATTTTCCAGGCCACTGCGGCTAAAACAATAATGCACGCAAGTATTGTGAGCGAGTCGGCTGGTCAGCCTGGAGCGTCTCCGCCCCCCATTGGGGCCACGGCTCCCCTTGCCCAAATCGCGGACCCCTGGAAGTCCCAGACTGGCCTCAGCCCCAACTTTGAGGGCAAGTCGTATTGAGGAATTGCCGACAGGTTTTGATCCAGGATATATTAGTCTAGTGTAAATTTGGAATAGTAGATTAATCAGCTGTTAGCTTCAGCTTTGAGAGTGATGTTGTAGGATTGTTTCTATATTGAGTGGGTTTTGGTGGGTTTGAGGATTATGCTAGCGTTTCCGTAAACGTGAATTGCGGCAAAGCCGCCGCGAAAAACATCCGCCGTTTTTATCAGTTGTGTTTTGTACCGACAGGCTTTGGGTTTCTCGGTGTTTTTGATCGTTATTTGCATTTTGTGCACGTTTTCAATTTACAGACTTGATTTTGGCAAAGTCCTACAGGTATCCGATCGTGGATAGCCAAAACTGATATTAAATTCGATAGGGGAAATAATGCGATACGTTTCGCATTGTTTTCACATCTAAAGTATGAGAGATTCTTTTCCTGTTACGTTAAGCTTATAATGACTGTTCCGGCCCTTAAACAACTTAACGTGAGAGACAACATACTTCTTGATGGCTTGTTTTAGTTTACAGTGATTTGACGAGTGGCGCCTTTTTTTAAACGTAAAAAAGATGCTTGAGTTGTCTGAATCCTCCTTTTCATTATTCCGTACGCTGAGCAAAAAGCTTTTACGAAAACTGGAAAATCAATGACACCACACTCTTTAGACATTATTATTTTATAAAAGTAGGAAGCTTGTCGAAAATTACAATTTTTTTTGCGGTCGCCGATTTCGTTTTTTTTTTTCATAACGAGGTTCAGAGAATTTGGTATAGAAAAACAAGCAGTTTGTTCACTCCAGAAACCTCGAGAATTGAGGTGTTAAGATTTTTTATGCGTTCATTGGAATACATCATTCATCATCATACAACATTGGAATCTTCGCACATATCCGAAACAAATCGATTATTCGCGCTTTGTAAATTTTCACCTAGATTGCGTCTTTCTTCCTGTATACACTTATAAAAACCTTAAATATTTGTTTATTTTTTTACAAACTTCTTTTTGGGTATTTCGCCTCAAAAATTTTTGTCTTCAAAAAAGACAGAATTTCCTCACGTCTTTTATTACAGATTGCTGATTGTAAATAGCGCTCCTATTTCGCAATAAGAACGAATTTTTTATCAAAAAGTAATCAAGAACTATCACCTAGAGGGTATCCTGCGACACACTTAGGCTCAAGCTGTAAGAGAAAATTCCAATTAGTAAAGAAATTAATTTGAAAAATTACCTTGACGTTTCGATAGCTATTTTCTGCTATCGTTATCAAAAGAACCTAAATGAACCTAAAAAAGAGTGTGTTAATAAATTGTGTAACAATGGTAGGATAATACAATATATGAAAATTCGCTCTGATAATTCGTCTGTGCAAATTGTCAGTTATGTGACTTTGACTTAATCTCATTGTTTAAATTAATGAAGGTAATGATAATTAATAATTTTGGTGTAAATTTAATTTGGGTGTATGTTTCTCTGGTCCTCTTCAAGATTTAGCATAGGTGACCATGTATGACTTAAATTAAATGAACATGAAGCAACACAATTATTTTGATTTAGTAAAATTAGTGCGCTTTCACGTTTTTTTGTGGATTGTTCTTTAGTTAAAATTGTGGAATTATTCCATTGAATTTTATGGCAATTATCAAATGCATGTTGACAAATGTGTGATT